GTATGAAAAAAAAAAAAAAAACAGGCACCATACAGACTTGAACCCATGACCTTTAGATCCACAGTGCAGCGGTTAGCTGCAGTACTACTGTGGCTCTCAAAGATGTAGAGCACTATTCATTATTTTAGTATGACGGCTAAAAATGTGAAAACTCCACATTTTATAAGACTAGCATATTCTATTCCATGAGGTAAAGTCACTATACAGCAGTTTTTACCATTTGGTGGTCTACAGAAAAAATCTTTAAAAAACTCTTTGGGCACCAGCCAACTTATCTCACATTCACTGTTTACTCTGTACACAGTAGCTGTTCATTATCTCCTTCTATCCCGTGCATCTGTCCTATTACTTTACCTGGGCGGCTACTTGACCTCTTCTATCCCAAGCTTGCAATATTTTAACTTCTTGAGACCCGTGACTGATACTCTAAAATACTATGACATTATGGTAGAAGCAACTGGCTGGAATTAGAAGAATTAAGGGGTCTGTGATATCATTTTTTTTAAATATTTAATAAAAAAATAAATAAAACTTCAGGATGAGATTCTAATATTTATAAATTATTATAATTCTAATATTAATAATTTATAGTAATTCTAAGATTTATTAATTCTTTAGTATGATTTTTAAAAAGGAATGAGGTTCATAGCAAACCTTCAAAAATAAGTGGGGTCCACATGCCTTAACCAGCTGGGAATCACTGTAAAGAGCATTGTTAACTGTTTTAGTATAATCGACAATATAGCAAATTCTCACTTCCAAAAAGATTGAGTTTTCACCTCATTGTAAGACTTTTCTATCTACCCCAGGAGCTAAAGTTACCCTAGAGTATTGTTAAACATGTTAGTTCACAGTAATGCCATACCCAGGATAACACTGTAGTCTGAAAGATTAAACATTCACCTCACAGCAGACTCTTGAACCTCAGGAGGAACAGACACCATATAGAGTTGTTATTTTAGTACAACTACACATGCTGCCATTATTTGCTTCAACGGAGACAAATGAAACAACCAAGGTAGCAGGCAGGTGAATAAGCAATCTACCACAGAGGAGTCAAGGAGGTACTGCTAACTGCAAACAGACGGGTAGAATGTAGAAATATACAACGTGCACTTACAGTGTTTGTATACATCTGTGAATGAATACATGTTATGGATATGCTGCAGATTACAACACAGAACCAACACAAGTTTATTTACACATATACACACCGGCTAGTAAGGATTACAAATTCAGAAATAGATAAAACAAGAAGGTAAATATGCTACACTTCTTTTTGTGCTGGTAAATTTAAAAAATAAAGCCTGTGCTGCTGTTTTACCATGGCTTGTTATGTACATTTGAGAAAGGTTAATACAATCTTTTTATTTCAGCATATACATGACAAATATCCCTCATAACTCAGTTCATGGATCCCCATTTAATGAATAAAGAAAAGATTAATGAAATCTGGAGAAAGTGATTTCATAATTTTCAGATTTAACATTTAAAATGTGAGTCGTAGATGCAGTTGTTTTATGTTTTGTATCAAGCGGAACTTGAAAAAAAAACAGTTTCAGTTACCATATTTACAGCGTACAGTTTATTTACACTGTCATATTTTATATTTGTGCTTGATTAAAAATATTGTTCCACTTCTTTTCATGAAGTCATTGTTGATATTAATCACTAGAGACCAATTTTAGTAACTACAGTCGATCAGAATTACTGGACAAATATTCCCACCCTTTTGAACGTTGAAATGAGGTATGAGTGTATAAGCAAATAAATAAGCAATATTAAATCTCTTTCTTCCTCTCCCTCATACACTTTCACTCAAATCAAAGAGAGGTCTTTCTCAATATTTAGTAGAGTTAGGAGCCAATATCACAGCATTTGGGACATTCCCATATGCACTCCAGCCTGCCTGTTAATTTCCCTATCTGTCTTTCTCAGTGATAACACCTTCCTTGATCAGCTCTACCTTTTCATCTCTTGGTCTCATCTGATTCAATTTATTTATTCATTATCATTCAACTTTAGCTCATTTTATAAATTTGTTTGCCTCATTCACTGCACTTTCATTCTTTGTCTGCAGCAGACAGACAACAAAAAGTGATTGAAATGAATCTGACTTCTAGCAAAAACTAAAAAAAAACATTTAGTCACGAGTAAAACACTGGTCAGAATGGCATCATCAGTAAGGGCACACTTCACTGGCTAGAGAGCACATGTGGAAATGCCCTAAATGCAGTGATGTAAATTCTTCATTCTTCCTCTTCTTCTTCAGTTCCGCTCTGAGTGTCAAAGAAGATTCAAGGTTGAGTTTTTGCTCTTTTGGCCGCCTCGACTATAAACACATAATACTGTTGAGTATTTCTGATGCAATCTTTCCATCTTGTTCTTGGTCTATCACCTCGTGCTCTATGTTCCTCTTCTCTGTTGGTGTTTGCCTCACAAAACTTTCTCTCTAAAAGGGCAAGGCTTTCTCTCTGTATGGACAAGGCTTTCTCTCTGTATGGACTAGGCTTTCTCTCTAATGGCCAAGGCTTTCTCTCTAAAAGGGCAAGGCTTTCTCTCTAAATGGTCAAGGCTTTCTCTCTAATGGTCAAGGCTTTCTCTCTAATGGTCAAGGTTTTCTCTCTGTATGGACAAGGCTTTCTCTCTAATGGTCAAAGCTTTCTCTCTAAATGGTAAAGGCTTTCTAATGGTCAAGGTTTTCTCTCTGTATGGACAAGGCTTTCTCTCTAATGGTCAAGGTTTTCTCTCTGTATGGACAAGGCTTTCTCTCTAATGGTCAAAGCTTTCTCTCTAAATGGTAAAGGCTTTCTCTCTAATGGTCAAGGTTTTCTCTCTGTATGGACAAGGCTTTCTCTCTAAATGGTAAGGGCTTTCTCTCTAATGGTCAAGGTTTCTCTCTGTATGGACAAGGCTTTCTCTCTAATGGTCAAGGTTTTCTCTCTGTATGGACAAGGCTTTCTCTCTAATGGTCAAAGCTTTCTCTCTAAATGGTAAAGGCTTTCTAATGGTCAAGGTTTTCTCTCTGTATGGACAAGGCTTTCTCTCTAAATGGTCAAAGCTTTCTCTCTAAATGGTAAAGGCTTTCTCTCTAATGGTCAAGGTTTTCTCTCTGTATGGACAAGGCTTTCTCTCTAATGGTCAAGGTTTTCTCTCTGTATGGACAAGGCTTTCTCTCTAACGGTCAAAGCTTTCTCTCTAAATGGTAAAGGCTTTCTCTCTAATGGTCAAGGTTTTCTCTCTGTATGGACAAGGCTTTCTCTCTAATGGTCAAGGTTTTCTCTCTGTATGGACTAGGCTTTCTCTCTAATGGCCAAGGCTTTCTCTCTAAAAGGGCAAGGCTTTCTCTCTAAATGGTCAAGGCTTTCTCTCTAAATGGTCAAGGTTATCTCTGTATGGACAAGGCTTTCTCTCTAAATGGTCTAGGCTTTCTCTCTAATGGTCAAGGCTTTCTCTCTAATGGTCAAGGCTTTCTCTCTAAATGGTCAAGGCTTTCTCTCTAATGGTCAAGGCTTTCTCTCTAATGGACAAGGCTTTCTCTCTAATGGTCAAAGCTTTCTCTCTAAATGGTAAAGGCTTTCTCTCTAATGGTCAAGGTTTTCTCTCTGTATGGACAAGCCTTTCTCTCTAAATGGTCAAAGCTTTCTCTCTAAATGGTAAAGGCTTTCTCTCTAATGGTCAAGGTTTTCTCTCTGTATGGACAAGGCTTTCTCTCTAATGGTCAAGGTTTTCTCTCTGTATGGACAAGGCTTTCTCTCTAATGGTCAAAGCTTTCTCTCTAAATGGTAAAGGCTTTCTCTCTAATGGTTAAGGTTTTCTCTCTGTATGGACAAGGCTTTCTCTCTAATGGTCAAGGTTTTCTCTCTGTATGGACTAGGCTTTCTCTCTAATGGCCAAGGCTTTCTCTCTAAAAGGGCAAGGCTTTCTCTCTAAATGGTCAAGGCTTTCTCTCTAAATGGTCAAGGTTTTCTCTCTGTATGGACAAGGCTTTCTCTCTAAATGGTCAAGGCTTTCTCTCTAATGGTCAAGGCTTTCTCTCTAATGGTCAAGGCTTTCTCTCTAAATGGTCAAGGCTTTCTCTCTAATGGTCAAGGCTTTCTCTCTAATGGTCAAGGCTTTCTCTCTAATGGTCAAGGCTTTCTCTCTAAACGGGCAAGGCTTTCTCTCTAAATGGTCAAGGCTTTCTCTCTAATGGTCAAAGCTTTCTCTCTGAATGGGCAAGGCTTTCTCTCTAAATTTGTATGTAACTTAAAACCCAGTCTTTGCCAACCTATTGTCTTATGACTTCATTCCTAATTCCATCTACTTTCGGTCACTCCTGCAGCCTTTCTCAGACTGATTCATTCACTACAAAATCCTTTACAGTGTGTTACAAAAATTAAAACAAAGAAATATAATTTTTCACATAAAAAACAGCAAATACTACTCTGCATCTCAGGACATTAGTATAGGCAACAAAAAACATCTGGCTCTGTTAGAACAAAGTGTACTTCTAAGCATACATCTCCTCCTGAAGCTTTTCTCAGCCTCATTCATTCACTACAAAAGCCTTTACAGTGTTTTACAAAAGTTAAAACAAAGAAATATAATTATTTACATCAAAAACAGCCAAAACTTCTCAGCATCTCATGATGTTAGTATAGGCAACAACAAACATCTGGCCCTGTTAGAACAAAGTGTACATCTAAGCGCGCACACACACACAAGAGTGAGAATGAAATTCTTCAATGAGAGGTTTACTCTTCAAGAAAAAAATACTAATATAAGAAAAATATACAAGAAAATATCCTGAAGCCAAAATATATTCTACTAAAATCAGATTACTGAAAACTTTAACAACACAACAAAATGGTGCAAAGAAACTTCAACAACAAAAAGACAATATAACACATGCAGATAATATAAAGCCACTACTCTGTGCTAAACAAATCTGCTTAAAAAAAACTGACCAGCAGAAGATGCCTGTTTGGACTACCAGGCAACAATGCTAAAAATCTCACCTCATCTTCGCCAGGTTCATCATCTCCCATAAAGGATCCCGAAAATACCATACTCCCCGTCTGAATAAAGGAAGAACACCACAAAATGAAGATCAGTACATTGGCATCATAGCAAAGACAAAAAACAGAGACATGCAGTTGAGGAAAGCGGCTGGTGCATCATGGAACAAGTCACAGTTACGTATCTGTATCATCATCATCATCATCAATATCCTCCTTTTGTGACAACATACATCACATAGGGCTTGCATTACATTCTTCCATTCCGTTGTAGCTATATACTATTGAGATATGATAATCAAAAAAGAAAATGTAAAACTGGAATGAATTGCAGCAGATATCTTCTTCTTCTTTTGTTAGTTAGTAAGTTAGTCTTTCCTCTCGAGCCCAGGGTGGCGCAAATGGCAGAGGTCACAGCTTTCCATGTCTGACAGTTCGCTGCCACCTGTTTTACGTCATGGATGTTCAATAGGCCCAAAGTTGAGCCTTCCTTGATGATGGTTCTACACAGTGTCTACCTTTAAAAGGAAACCTCACACACGTTGTTACGGTATCGGAACTCTTTGCTGGCTGCTGAAGATGGGGACGGAGTGCTTATGGGAATGCCCTGAGTGCTGTGATGTTGGTTCTTGAATCAAATCAAATCAAATCAAACCCAAAAAAAAAAAAAATTGCTAGCTTTGTCAGTAATTAAAACTATGTTTATCTTAAACTTCAACAATATGACATTGAAATTGTGACAACCAACTGTATCTATAAAATTACTATAAATACAAATCAAAGTTTAAAGCTACCACAAAACATCAATAGCAAAGCATCCAAAAAAAAAAAAAATGTCTTGGTTAGGAAGAATTAATGACATTTTTTTAAAAATGACATAAGAAATGCAAAATGTTTTTTGAAATAAAAAAAAAATTCTTAAGCGACAACTATCTAAGCTATTTAACACAATTTAAAAAAATATAAAAATGTGCATATCAACAAAAATATAATAGAGACTATGGGTCTCTACAACAATATAAAGACATCAGCAAGTGTACTGAGGTAGATTTATGGGAACAAAATACCAAGGACCATGTTGTATTGAGGTGGACAATCCAGTAGGGACCAGAAATAAAGGGAACCAAAAAAATGATTGCAGATAGGCCGAGAGCTGATTGAGAAGAAGTAGACTAAATATATGCAATGGTGGCAACAACAGTTCTGAAATCCCACACTCTAAATGTGGCAGACCTTTCTTAACACAGGGGGGGGGGGGGGGGGGGGGGTGTCTTGCTAGTCACACTCACCATCACCATGAGCTGTGAGTCCCATGCCTCTATATAAAACAAAATAACACTATAATCTGGAAAGACAGAAAGGTGCCAAAAAAAAACAGTGGAGAGCCAGAAAATTATTTTAACAGGAGCAAAAAAACAACAACTGAATGCAGCAAATGTGAAGTGACCAGATGTTTGCCTACCACAGTGAGTGTCTTGGGTTCAAATCTGCATCAGGATGGCTAAAAGCTTAAATGGGTACCAGGAAACTCCTGGGAAGTAAAGGCAGTTGACATCATTTCCACCACATCAACCATTGAGTGTCAGTTGGTTTATAAAAATATGTCTAGCACCATATACTCCCTTTTTATATTACTTGTAAAAACCCTTTAAAGCAGTGGGCTTCACCCCCTCTGACCCCCCCCCCCTTCCCCTTTTCCGCTGTGGTCATAGAAACTTTAACTGGAAAGGAAGGGAAGGAGGCACCAGGTTGAAATCCATTGCTTTTAAAAAAAAAAGGGGGGGGGGGTGCCAAGAAATCTTGAAATTGAGTGCATTTTTATAGTAATAATCAGTGGTCCTATTTTGGGAGGGAAAAAAATAGACCCCTCCTCCCCCCAGCAAAAAAAAGGTTGTTGCGTATCCTCTAGAGGACGTTGCTGAACCAACCCTAACAGCCCCTGGCTGTTGTGTGGTTTCTCTAGGCAAATTTACGTCCAGTAGTTTGCCATTGCTTTCTGGACGGTCGGCTTTCTTGATACCACTGTCGAAACCAACGCAAGGCGCATTGCCCGCAGCTGAGATCGAACCTGGCATCCCGGCATTACGAAGCGAAGTGTTCGCATCGACTTAGCCACAGAGCCGACCCCCCAGCAAGCATGTCATAAAAAACACTCCTATTAAGGGATGTTTTCTTCAAAGTCAGAGTGCATCTGCCTGAGAGACAAGAGATCAAAACTCAGCATACGAACAAGCCAGATTTTTTAAACAGATGTACATGTAAAAACTCAAGTTCTAGAACAAGACCAAAGTTCTGAAGTGAACAAACAACCAGAGCTTTCCACCCCCGGAGTTTACAACAGCTGGTGAACGCTATAAAGAAGAGGAAGAAAATAAGTTATTACTGTTGTGCTTTATATTTATAAACAAATGAATTGAAAGCTATTCTAGATTTACAAGGGAGAAAGTGAATGGCTCAGTGCGCATATTACACAAAAAATACATGAAGTAGTTTAAAAAAAAAAAATCTTTATCACTCAAAAGATAAGAATAATATCATGCAGTGTGTGATATAAATTGCCAGATACATGCATACACAGTGTTTCTTGATAGCAAAAGCTGCTGTTATAACAACAAACAAAGAATTAAAAAAAATAAGACTACAAAGTATATAATGTTGCAAGACACCTGTACACATAAAATAATGTTTACAAAATAATATAAACAACTGTGCAACAAGAATGTAATGCTTTCAGGACATCATAAATAACAGCACAAATATGCAATGTTTTCAGTACATCACAATTGATTGTACTCAAAAGAATATTTTAAAGACTCCATAAATCACTGTAAAAAAAATAAAAAAAAATGTAACAAGCACAAGACAAAACTTGGTCAAATAATAAAACAGACACTTGTCTAGCAAACAAAGAAAGAACTGTTGTCTCGACTGTGATGGAGTCTGTTGTGGACTTAAACTTTGGATGCTACGCGTCAGCAAGGAATCATGGCAATTCCCCATGACAGTAGACATTTAGTTAGCATGCACTGCCTGGGGGTCTCCATGGTGATGTGGTCAAGCCGTTTGTCTTGTGCTCTGAAGGTTTGTGGGTTCCTTTCACGGCTGCGTCGTTCTTTTCAGGGGTGCAGCTTCTAGATCCCTAGGGATAGTAACCGGAGCTACGGAGTTCATCCTCTGTGCAATGTTCTCGCAGACAGCTAGCCGGTCTGCGGAGAGAGACCGAGCCATATGGGATAAAATCCGGTGCAATGAAGTCGATCCTCTCAACTCTAACCTTTAACAACTGACTGCTTCAAGAGAACAGGGGCATGCTGGGAATGAGTGTTTTGCTTGCCCATAGGAAAAGTGTTCACTAGTCCTAAGTCTTCTTCTTCTTCTTCTTCGGCATTTCGAGTCCTTGAGGTTTATTGCTGCAGATATCACCCACCTCCACTCATCTCTCTGGTTGGCCTTCTCTTTCCAGTTGATAACATCAAGTGTTTGCAGGTCTTTCTGGACGTTATCACTCCATCATAATCCTGGTAGTCCCTAATTCCTCAAGTATAAAAATATGCATCTGCTGCTAGGTGTGGCAAACACCATTTGCAATGCTGCCGTGCCGGATTTGATCTCAGCTCCAGTCGATTTGATAGCAGACAACCTTCTCTTGGTTTTGACATGGTATCAAAAGCCAACCGTTCAGAAGCAATGGCGACCTACTGAATGTAAATGCTTAGTTAAATCATAAACAGCCAAACAAATTGCCGGGGTTGGTTCTGCAACATCCTGTAAAGGACATGTAACCAACTTTATAAATATATTTCCACTGCAAATGCGGCTGTCCCACAGTATGCACTGTCATTTGGGTTTGAAACTTCAAGCTTTCACATATTCAAGGTCACAAAATGTAAGGTCAGCTGCCTTCTTCATAACCTCTCCTTCACAGTCAGATCCTTGAAAATTCTGAAAATTGTTTCCTGGATGCTTTCATCACTGTCCACTTGAAACAAACTTTATTTTTCACCCGCTCTCCCTATCTCGTGCACTTTCTTTTACCCACGGTGTCCCTTACATCCTGTGTCCATCTTCACGCTGGTCGGCCTCTGCACTTCTTTCCTGGTACCTGCTTTCTGCTATTTTTTTTTCTTTCTAATCCACAAATATTTCACTTTCTAAGATAAGATACTACAAAGAAGATGGAGAGATAATGTCCAGACAGACCTGCAAACACTTGGTGTCACCAACTGGAAAGAGAAGGCCAACTAGAGAGATGAATGGAGGTAGGTGATATCTGCAGCAATGAACCTCAAAGGCTCGGAATGCTGAAGAAGAAGAAGATAAGATACTGTACAAGTCAATCTTCCTTGATGTTCAGATCTTTAGGGATATCAGCATTTATTTTCTGCAGCTGAACCAGTAGAAGAAATCCTGCTTCTTCTGAGGACTGAATGCAGATGAGTCTTGCCGGGCAAGTGCTTTCAACAATAGGTCAACTCAGTGCACACATAAAACTAACAGAAAACTATGCCAATCAACTGGTGGGTATGCTGAGCCTGGAGACACTGAGATGGCTGCTGCATCAGAAGATGGAACACAGATGGGTCAGACCGTTGTGATAAGATGTCGATGTGTACAAGTAACAAGGTGGAGACATGCAAAAAGATGTGCCAATTAACTACTAATTAACTAAGTAACTAACTACTAAATTAACTAACAAGTAAGATGGTGAAGACATCAGAATTTAAGAACATGAACAGACAGGGTTTTTTAAATAGAAAAAACACTGACATACAACAACAACAACAACAACACCGTGATGAAACACAACACATTTATAATAATCAACAAAATCATGTTTCCATGCCTAATTAAGTAAGTGCTAGTATACATTTGATCATTCCCAGTGATTAATGAAGAATAATCATGTGTTAGATTGATTCAGCACTGTTGGGATAAATACAGGCTCATTCAAAGATGAAGACAGGAGACAGGTAAATATTAGTTCTCATACGGATCAGATGACAAATCATGACTTAAATCTATGGTTATGTCTCAATGCAAACATGCCGCCAACTATAGGCAGTAAGTTTTTTCAGCCCTCTACGGACATTTTTCTAGCAATATTCAAGTGTCATTCCTCGATGCCCTACCTCACTGTCTATACAGCGTTTGGGTTCGTCCCACTGTGGAAATGTCAAATTCATACTGTTTCAAATTTCAAATATCTGCAAACTTCACTTTTGGTGTGACAATTTATTTCATTAAATTATATGTGAAATGAGAATGTATAAGAAATGTGAAGGGAAAAACAAGAAGAGATGGGGTCACCAACAAAGAACTAAGCATAAAGGTAGGCACAGGATACTGGTAAATGATTTCAAAGGACATCAAAGAATCAAACTGTTTGGTCATCTGGCCAGAATGGAACAAAATCAGCCAGTGGCTACTGCAGGCTACAAGTCAAGAGGTCTATCCCAAAAAACAGATGGGTGGAGAAAGTAAAAGAGACAATGCAGAAATGCAATATATTCAAAGTCCTGGTTTCTGCACCTTATTTTATGATTATTATTCTTCTTTTGCAGTCACCCTTAAATGAGTGGTTGGCATGATGTGTTGTGGTTAACAGCTAGGCTGCGATATCTGCACCTCTGGACCTTACACATTAAATTTCAGCTAACCCTAATTAGTTGCAATTTACAATATTTTTGTTAGAGGGGCATAGTGTCTATTCTCCCCAACCCCAAACAGGGCCCCTGAACTAATAAGGGGATTGCAGTAATTTACATTTACACCAATTCATAACTTGAATTTTTAATATTTTGTTTGTCTATCAAGATCAGCGGTTCTCAACCTGCCGGTCGCCACCCTTTTTTTAGGGTCGAATGACCCTTTCACAGGAGTCACCTAAGACCATCGAAAAAAACATCTGAAGTTATGAAGGAAAATAATTGTTTGGGGGTCGCCACAACATGAGGGAAATGTATTAAATGGTCGTGCATTAGGAAGGTTGGGAGCCCCTGCTCTAGATGTTAAAATAATTTTGTTCAGGTTGTTGAAATTAATTTTTCCATTGCTATTATCTTTTTTTTTATTTCTGTTTCACTTCTGCCATCATCAGATATTGACATTTTCCAAGACAAGTTAAACTTGTTACCTATTCTAGCATCTCCCTATTTATTGTAGTGTTCAGAATTTTGCTTAGTTAATTTTCTAACATAGCACTGTGGACACAAAAATGTTTACACAGCATCTCTTTTCCAAATATCATTCTTTTTCTTCTTATAGTTAAACCGTAGGTGTTGTTAGTTGTGTGCATCCACAACCTTCTATTTTGTTTACTTGTATCCAATTCTGACACAGATGATCTTCCATGCCATGATGTCAAACTGCCCAGCATCTTCTCTTCTTGTCTGCCTCTGCCTCTTTTTCCCTCCGACTTCCCAAAGGGAAGGTTGAGGTACTCCAGTTTTTTCCTTCTTATGACATGACTAAAGAATATAGATTCTCCTTTTCATGACATGACTAAAGAATGTAGATTCTCATTTTCATGACATGACTAAAGAATATAGATTCTCCTTTTCATGACATGACTAAAGAATGTAGATTCTCCTTTTCATGACATGACTAAAGAATGTAGATTCTCCTTTTCATGACATGACTAAAGAACGATTCTAAATGACATGACTAAAGAATGTAGATTCTCCTTCTTATGACATGACTAAAGAATGTAGATTCTCCTTTTCATGACATGACTAAAGAATGTAGATTCTCCTTTTCATGACATGACTAAAGAATGTAGATTCTCCTTTTCATGACATGACTAAAGAATGTAGATTCTCCTTCTTATGACATGACTAAAGAATGTAGATTCTCCTTTTCATGACATGACTAAAGAATGTAGATTCTCCTTTTCATGACATGACTAAAGAATATAGATTCTCCTTTTCATGACATGACTAAAGAATGTAGATTCTCCTTTTCATGACATGACTAAAGAATGTAGATTCTCCTTTTCATGACATGACTAAAGAATGTAGATTCTCCTTTTCATGATATGACTAAAGAATGTAGATTCTCCTTCTGCTGTGGGCAGTCAGTTATCTTTGTCAGTCAGTTCTTTAAAGACATCTTCATGACTCCTTTTTTATCTGTTCAGAGTGTTCTCATAATTTATCTATAAAGCCACATCTCCGCAGCTTTCAAATAATTGTTGGTGCTGTTCACGATAACCGTGATGTTTAAATTAGTTTAGGCACTGCGCGCCATTTTATTCTTAAATCATTGTACTGTTCTGAGGCATAGGGGTGTGAGCTATCTGTAGGTTTTTTTAGCAACACCACCGACTTTGTGCGGTGATGCAGCGTGTCACTGTTCATTGCGGCACCATTCTGTGAGCAACACATTGAGTCGCAGTTTGCTTGCTTGACACTGACAGATGTCCCGGAATAGACTTACTCACACCCCTGTGACCCAGAAGAGTCCAAGAAGCTATGAATGAAAGGTCAACATCACGGTTACCTTGAACAGCACTTAATTATTCACTAGCTGTAAACCTGCCATGATTCACTGGCAATAAAATATCACTGTCTTCTGTCAATATCTACACAACTTGGTGGAATACTGATGCATGATAAGGCAGACGTGGTTAGTGCCTTGTGGGAGAGCATGTACAGTTCAGAGAAGCAGATGGATCCCCACAGTTTGGTGAGACTGATGCAGCGGGGAGTGACGAGAGGTTCTGGCAGATGCTCAATGCGCAGAGGAAAGGCAAGATGGACGTTTAATCAGAATGCTACTGGCACCATTAGTATCGGAACTGCACTGGCTGCTGAGGATGGGGACAGAGCACTTATGGGAATGCCCTGAGTGCTGTGATGACGGTCCTTGAATCAACTCAACTCAGCTCTGTCAATATCTGCTCTGAGCTGTTAGACATCATGATTTAACAGATAGGTAGCTGAACTAAGGCATGCTCAGTTGCTTGCTAAGCTGTGTGACGTTAAGTCTTAGACCATGACTCCTTCAATCCATTTTCTTCCTCACATTACTGTCATGATCAATCAGCAGGTTCTTTACAGAAGGTCGCTCTTGTCACGGCATGCAAGGGTCACTTTCTCTGGTTAATTCTTCAGCCCTATGTGCTTTCATAGCCAATGCATCTTAATTCTTGCATCCATCTTTGCGGAGGTCAACCTCTTCCTCATTTTTTGGAACCTGTACTTTCCATCATTGTTTTTTTCCATGCCATCCTGATGTTAAACATGGTAAAAATACCTCTACTTTCTGGAAAGGATTCTGTTTATGAGCCAGTTCTCCTCGATGTTCAGATCATGAGATCATGTAGGATATCGATGTTTTTCTTATTTTGGGTAACGGTATTCTAAAAATTGTTCTGTAAAAATTAATTTATCTTTCATTCCTTCTCAGGCAAGTTGAAACAGTGCCATCAGGGAAATAAAAACTATAAACTGGACTTCTGTTGTCAGAGGCTAGTGTCTGTGCATGCCACAGATTAATTTGATCAGATACTGACAGCTCATCCTTACTTCTACTTCTGTGTTCACCCTTAAAAGTGTGGTTGGCACATTATCTTTGTGAGTTACAGCTAGGCTGTGATATCTGCACCTTTGGGCCCCATGCATTTGATTTCAGCAAATCTCTAAATAGTTGTTTCATGGCATGCTTGTTTAGGAACAGTGTTATTCTTCTGCTTCTGAAAGTTGTTACTCTATCAATGGTCTTAACCTTCTTTTAATGATCTTAGCATACATTTTCCCAGTGTGACTGAGAAGCATTATTCCTCTGTAATTAGTACAGTCCCTCTTAATTCCTTTGTTTTTCCATAGCGGGACGATGACAAGAGTTTGCCAATCTGATTTCGTTTCTTGATTCTCCCCTGCCACTTGCAATATTCTCTTTAACCAAATTGCTCCCGTTTCTCCTGCTGCCTTGATGGCCTCAGCTGGTAGATCATCAATACCTGTTGCCTTTAGTTTGGGGGTGGTATTCTTCTGCATTTATCCGAAGATGTAACTATGTTGTTACAGCATGGCTGCAATATTTGCACATTTTGACCAAGATATCTGATTTTTACAGGTAATTTGTTGACTATGCTGACAGAACAGTGTTCTAACGCCACCCCCTCCTTCCCCCACCCCGAAATGAGGCCCCGGAAGCTATACAAAGATGTCTTTGATAAGCCATTCTTCATTTATCTAACCTTTGTTAAGGATGAATTAGCATTAGTATGTTTGCAAAATAGCTGCAATATTTGAACCTTTTGGCTGATACATCTACCGTCTTTAGGCACTGCTTATTTGGGTTAGCCTTCCCGGCGACATGTTGAAAGTTAAGGTTGTTTATTTGTATACAACATGAATTCCTACCATTACTACCTTTTTCTCTTTTAACTTCACTACTTATTCTTTCTCTAACTGCAGTGAATTTACCATGCAAACGATGCTGACAATTAGAGACTTACTGAACAAGTAAACATACTTAATTTAATTAGCGAAGAGCAAAAATCAGGTCACCCAAACTATCACAACATGCTAAATTTGTATGGTCATTAGCACATGTTAGCACCAAAGATTTCTACTGAATCAATGTTTTTAGAATGCAACAAACTTAAAGTGTGCAGATTAATCCCAGAGCAACAAAGACCACATAAAGTTTCACAAAAATAAATTAAAGGTATTAGAGGAAACATTGACTCAGCAGAGATTCCACAGAAAGAAAAAAAGCTATGGTACTAATGTCACTCAGGTGGTTTGGTACCTCATCATCAAAGTGATGTTTGTCATTTTTCCAGTGCAACTAGTGGACAAAGGAAATCAAAATTAATGACAAACTAGACATATTTTCTAATATGACACACATCAACAAGACAACAACAAGGGGACAGCAGAAATCAAAATTAAAGACAACTAGACATATTTTCTAATAAGCACACATCAACAAGACAATAATAAGTGGACAATCCACCCTTTTCCCTCTAGCGGTTTATAAGGCAAATGATGCTATACTTATAATTCTGTAGACCAATTAGCTAGATTTTGCCAACAAGACACTTGCAAATTTCAGCAGATAAGATATAACAGCTCCTAATAAAAGAAAAATTGGTAGCCACAGAAATGAGATGTTTGAGAAGGGATGCAGGAGTGACCAAAAGAGATAAAATCAGAAACGTGGTCTTAAGAGAAAAAGTTTGCACAGAACCAGTTTCAAATTATATTCACAGACAGCAAATTAAATGGTTTGCCCACTCAGAGAGAATGTCTTATGGCAAAATACCATACAAGAGCAGAAGAGAGTTGAGCATAAGGTAGACCAAGAATAATATAGAAAGATAACATCAGAGAAACTTTACAACAGCACAATGTGTCTATGGTCAAGATGGTCAGAATGGCGAGAAGCAGAATCATATTTCTCCCTCGACACTCGAAGCAGTAAAAGATGAAGTGAAGAAGAAGAAGAAGAAGACAAAACAGAAACAAAAGATAAGAAAAACAAATAAGACCTAGTAAAAAAATGATAATTATGAGCTCAAAGGTATGTGCTCCATAAGTAAAAATAAGCAAAGAATCCTTGTTTTTGCCTGAGATGTATATGGTATATGATGTTAGATCCATAGTTATAAACAAACCAGCATTTGATAGGTGTTGTCATCATGCTGGCTGCCTTTACTTCAGTGAACCCTTCCATGTATCTATTTTAGGTTGAGTCAAAATGTGAGTAAGGTTAATTTAAAAAAAAAAAAATTTGGTTTAATTCTCTCTGACACAATATTAACTGGCAGATATGCAGGGAAGTGAGTTAAGGCAATTCCTACTTATGTCATAAAAAAAGAATACCTTTGCCTGACAGAAAAACAAATAAGGCACTACTTCTTCCAAGAGATACAAAATTATATGTAAACTGTCAGGACTTTTTCGACATGCTAAGATAAGAAACAAACTCAAAAACTTGATGACAGTGGGCAAGCTTGATTTGAAAAAAAAAAAATTAAAAATTAAGGGAAGACAAAGAGATAAATATTTTTATATCTGGCTTGAATGGGACAGAAACACTGACCTAATATATGATACTGGTGACTGAAAGATGTGAAACGTGACGAACTATGAAAGCCTACATTTCTCTGCACAACATATGATGATCATGATTTATGTCAGTTATAAAATATGACAACAAAAACAAACTTATAGCACCATTAATTGTGCAACTAACAAAAATACACAGCTGTGAACATCAATACTACAAAACAATTATTACAGACTTTTAAACATCTTCCATTGATAATATTAAGTCCCCATTACTTAGTTCTTTTTAAGACAGCGAAAGTTAAAAATGTGTTAAAAAAAATGACCCTATTTTTTAAGACTAGTTCAGCAATGACAGACAGTATAAAAATACGTACATAAACAGTTTGTTTGCAATCTATAAAATGGGAAATTAGGATGTTTGTGGTATTTTGATACAGTATTCTATCTTCTCTAAAGTTGCAAAGAAGATTTATGTAGTATTTTGATAAGCAGTATGTCTTCCCTAAAGGCGCAAAGAAGACGTATGTGGTATTTGGATACAGTAGTATGTCTTCCCTAAAGGCGCAAAGAAGATGCATGTGATATTTTGATACAGTAGTATGTCTTCCCTAAAGGCGCAAAAAGATTCATGTGATATTTTGATACAGTAGTATATCTTCCTATTTATCGACGAGGGCGTGATAGACAGGAGATCGCCAGCACAATGCACAAAGAACTCGATCGAATTGCCGCCTGGTGTAATGGTTCCAATGCCTATGTAAATCCTTCGAAGGCATCAGTGTCATGGTTCTCTTTGAACAATCACATTGTCAAGTTGGACTTACCAGAAGTGAAAATGCGTGATAATGTATTGATCAGAACCAACGTTATGACGTTTCTCGGGGTGAAGTTCGATCGCAGCTTGTCATTCAGGGAACACGTTGACCATGTGATAACAAAAGCACGCAAAGGTCTATCTGCAATGAGGATTATGGCTGCTTCCAATATCGAGCAAAGACTACTAGTACTTCTATTCTACGGTCTGGTCCTTTCCCCCATTGAATACGCTCTGGCCATCCTCACTGTCAGTGCTACCCAGATTGAACGACTCGAAAAGGTGCAAAATGAAGCCATGCGTATTATTTTGGGATGTACAAGAGACACATCCTGTGGAGCAATGAGGTATCTACTTGACTTTCCAACAATGAACCAAAGGATCAGAATGTGGAGGGCTCGGGCATACCTCAAAATATGTGCTGATAAGAAACACCCACTGCATCAAGCGCTTTTTAGTGAAAAGGGCGACAGACTGAAGAGGGGGAAATCGTGGCTAGGTCGGGCAGAAGATATTATTAGGCAAATATGCAGCCTAACCGACATCATACCTGGTGCAGAATGGATACCTGTGCCTCAGGCGTTTATTTGTACATTTTCCTGTATTGTCACACTCAACAGGCGATGTAGAGAAGAGAATCCTGTTGCTGTTAATGCAGAGGTCAACGCTCTCATCGGTGAAAATTCAGACGAAGCAGATGCACTAATCTATACAGACGGATCCGTTATACGCCAAAGAAGAAGCGCATGGGCATTTACAGCACGCTCAGCGGGCAGAACAGTCAAAGAAGCCAACGGCGCCTTCTCCATGACAACCAGCAGCATGACGATGGAGGTGATGGCAGTGACGCAAGCATTTGCCTGGCTTGAAACACAAAAATACACCCGCATATGTATACTCAGTGATTCAATGAGTATGATCCGGAGGGTTCAGGCAGGTTCAGTGCGAAGACAATGGCTTGAATCAATTCAGAAGTCCACTGTGCGAGGAGTCACCTTTATTTTTGTTCCGGGACACGCAGGCGTCGATGGAAATGAAAGAGCTGACAGGTTGGCTGGATCCGCTATCACTACCGACGGTCGGCCTATGGATCATGCTGATATTATCAATGCCCTCAGAGAAATGGGAAGGACAGAGGACTTTGGTGGCAGTGAATCCACATCACTCGCCAGAATGGCAGACTTGGGAATTAAGATCGGCACAGCAAAAAACGAGACGCACACCGGACACGTCAGAAGACTTGTTAATCAACATAGAACTGGTACTATTAGCCATCGGATGTTGGGGTTCATACTGAGGGGAGGATCTGAGCACCTATGGACATGTCCGGAGTGCAATGATGATAACCCAACTAACTAACTAACTAACTATCTTCCTACGCTTTCTCAGGGTGGGTTTATGTGAGAATTGTATATATGAAAGAAAACAGCTTCCTCAATTTGTAAAGGGAACTGCAACTATTGTGCTAACATATCCACCATGATACCTCAGACTCTCAAGATAAGCAAATGTATTTCACTGGAAAGCTTACAGGTGATGCTGGCTGCAGAGATTACAGTTCTAATTAGTAAACGATGTAGACATTGATAGAGAACAGAGATTTCTCTTTTTTTTTTTTTTTTAAACACACACAACAGTATAAAAGGTATGAGGAGCTTTCAAAGAACTCAGAAATCTGATGAAGTTAACATAAATTTAAATTTAAAAAAAAAAAAATTCTAAGTTCAAATAATTAGTGTTGTAGATCAGAATTATAGAGAAAAGAAAGAACAACTGCTAACTATAACAGTTCATTAACAAGTTCCTCTGCAGTATGGAAGTAATTAAATCACATGAGAAAATCACTAATTTATAACCTGGTGAAAGACAAACAGATATGAGTGAATAAAGAAGTGAGAACAGGAGGCTGGTGCTGGATAAGACATAGACAATGTGATGATAGTATAATTAGAATGACCTTTCATTGGGACTTGGAGATCAAAGGACACATAAAGAAGAGAACTAGAGATACATTAATAACATGGGGAGTATATGGTGAACGCTGCAGGATGTGGCAAGAAAGGATGAGTTGCTTGCGAAGCCCAAGAGTCAATGAGGGATAAAGTTGAGAAGAGATGCAGATTGCACATTTAAAAATGTCACAAATGTGTATCTGAATCAAGTGTGCAAAAATCAGTTATAATTAGGTGATTAACTCTTTCATCCCAATGGGTTTAGCATCAGAGGCTCAAGGGGTGGTAAAGAAAGACGTAAAATCGGCACATCTTGCGTTCACTGGTCTTTCTGATACGAATCTATGAACGTATGATGCATTCCTTTGGACTGAAAGAGTTAAAGTAAAAGTCTAGTTCTAAATGATTCTGAAGAAAAAAATAACAAGCAAATGTAAGCTTGTGTATTTACACACTTAGTGAGCTGCAATTAACAATAAATTAGGGAGGTGATCAAGCATAGCAGATTCAAAGCTAAATTATCAAGAAATACTCAAAGCTAAAATATAAATAATTACTCAAAGATGAATTAGAAACAGTTACTCAAAGCTGAATTATTAACAGCTGAATTACTCAAAGCTGAATAATAAATAATTATTAAAAGCTGAATTATAAACAGTTACTCAAAGCTGAATTATAAATAAATGCTGAAAGCTAAATTATAAACAATGTCTGAAACAGATCAAACAGTTAAGATCCCATCACGAAGCAGTCACGTAGTCATTTTACTAATACAGTTTATATTCTGCACTGTTCACAACCTGTTTTTAAATGTTCTTATTTACTACAGTAAAACCTAATGAACAAAAATTCCCAAGAGATTCCAAGCAATCGAAAATCAAGTCTGTATTTTTAAAAATGTGCTAAGCTTGGACTAATAATAATAATGATACTAATAATATTCATAATACATCTCTGCAGCGACCACAATTTTGTTTGTGTTACCCAAGTGTTCTTAAGTGAATTTATGTTACGAACATTATACTGTATTTGTGTCTGCCAATAAAATTATCATGAGAGCTTTGTCTGGGGTTAGATTTATGACATTTTAAAATAAATTAGCACCAATCTTCAGACTAATAAAATAACCCTTTTGCCCTATCCCCGTTTTCTTGATACAGACAACAATCTTCTCTTCTTCTTCCTCTTCTCTTCCACCTTGTATCTCAGCGAATTGTCGGGGGAGATGTAATGTTCGTTGATGAGCTCTGTCAAAAGCAATATTGAGATTGATGTTTATTTCTGTAAGGCTGTTCTTAATGCCATCATTCCATCTTTTCTAAGGTCTTCCGCTCGCATTATACCCGCTGTAACGTTTCAGTGGGTTCGTTGTGGCAGACAGAACCAGGGCATGCTTGTTAGGTGTCAAAACCACTTTATTTGTTGTTCTTTGATCACCTGTAAGACTGGCTTTATTCGTAGCATTCATCTAATTTCATGATTTCGTATTCTGTTTTTCCTTAAAACTCCTTCAGCTCTTCTACGAGGCATTTCATCTCTGATGTCACAGACTACTTGAAATGTGTATCTAATTTAAACTGATACAAAAGCTATCAGTTTAGCAGGTAGGCAATTACTTTTTTTTACTGAATACTGTAATCTACATATTTAAGTAAAAAGTAAAGGATCCATTTTCAATCATTGAGATATATTGACCAACTTTTACATCCAACACCTGACTGAGATAATTTGACATATGGTGCTAATCTAATATTTTAATTTCCAAAACTAGTTCCCTTGTCTATATAAAATAAAAAGTTATAAAAATATAATTTAAAAACTATTTCCCCACATATATCCACATATTTACGAAGGACATGATTTTTCCAATACATAAATAAGATTTATGATTAATCAAACATTTGAAAACAATTTTTTTTTTAAATAAATTTAAAAAAACATGTTGGTTTTCTGCTTACACATAATTGCAAACTAAGCATAAAAACAAAAAGGGGAATATAAATAAATATTTCAAATCTTATTTTCCCCCAATTAATGAAAGTCGTTTGTCAGATTAGCGTCAAATTCTGCTCCTTGACAGGATTTTTTTTTAAATTGCAAAACTACTACATCTTCTAGTAAGCTCTGCTCAACAATGATTAATAACAGCTGCTTTAAAGTAATACAACGCAAAGCACAACATTTATATGTGCTGCTGTCTACATGAATTTAAAATCAACACAGAGTGACTACAGAATGGGAGAAAGCTCTGGCCAACCTCATTTTGACTGGTTTGACGAAATACCTGCCGTTCTCCTGATTCTGAACGCCTCTTCAATGGCTTCTTGGCAGGCTCTTGGAGACTCTGGAAGACAGACAATTTTTATGTGAGTTGAGTTGAGTCAGGGCATTCCCATGTGTGCTCCGTTCTCAACTTTAGCAGCCAGCGTAGAGTTCCAAAACTGATGGTGCAGGTCACAATCTTGTTATATGTCTATCTTGCCTTTCCTCTGAGTGTAGTGAGCTGGCCAGGCCCTCTGGTTACACCCAGGTGCCTCATTCTCTCCAGACCACACTGATTCCGTTGCTTGTTTCCAAAGGGCCTTGACCACATCTGCCTTGTCATGTATAATTTGTATGTGAATAAACAGATCAGTCACTGGACTGTTTCAAATTAGTAAAAGACACCAAATGTTATCTGTGTGGGTTTCAGTGTCCCATTTCTGGGTGGGTGGGTACTGGGAACCTAGTACTCCTTTACAAGCATATAGTAAAAGATGACTAATTTAGGATTTATCGAAATCCGCTGCTGGCTGCATAAATTTTTATCATGGTATGGGGTGTCACAGGTCGACCCAGCCTAAAATGGGTATTAGGATGTACGTCCTGGGAAAGTAAAGACGGTCGGCGTAATGCTGACCACATTACCTACCAAGTGCTGATTGGTCTGTAAAAATATGGGTGCTCTTCCCATATGCCCGAAACACCTAAGGCGTAAAAAGGGATCTTTACTTTTCACTTTACTAATTTAGGATTTGCTGAAATCTGATGTGTTAGACGGAAAGGCAAAGATATCACAGCTTAGCTGTAAAACGTAACACAATATGCCAACCGCTCTTCTAAGGGTGACCACAGAAGAACCAAAATTCAGCACAAAAGTACTTTTGCTATGTTTATTATCTTATTTGATGAAAAAAAAAAAAAACAACAACAACAGCATATTACAGTTTCTGAAAATAGCTATAGAAGGGCTTTGGAAATGCTGACAGATGTTATTACTCTCAAAATCATTTATTTATGTGTGCGTTAAAATGGATTCGTAGTTGCTTTTACAATGATTCTGCAGACTTCATTATTTGTGATGTCATGTTTTTATGTCATACCAAAGATTTTATGAGAGGATCTCATTTACATTGTTTGACATTTTCACTAACATCTTCAAATGCTAATCATAAGTCATTTTGTTTAATAGGCATTCATAGAAACAAGAACTTACCTCCATCTTACGTCTCCATAACAGTGTGTTCAGTGCAAAAAACCAGTAGAGAATGAGCAGAATACCTGGGTTCACAAACACTGACCACCTGACTCCCGGGTAGAAAATAATCCTGTCCACAGCTCCACAATCTGTCTTGACTATGCCAGTGAGACCAACAATCCTGTGTGGAGTATTTTAAAAAAAAGTAAAGGTCTCTTTTCCATTCCTTTAGGTGTATAGGGCATATAGGGCTAGACCTATATTTTATAGACCAATCAGCACAAGATGGGTGATGTGGTCAGCATCATGCCGGCCGCCTTTCCTTCCCGGGACTGCACCCGGTACCCACTCAAGGCTGGGTCAACCTGGGAGCCAAGGTCATTTTTGAAAAAAAATCCGGCTCCGCCAGGGAGCGAACCCACAACCTTCCGATCCGCAGCGAGCGTCTAGCCGCTCCACCACATCGAGTCCCTGTGTGGAGTATACACAAATCAAATGTGATTAACTGTGGTCAAGATATGAACATGCACTACACATGCATGCCTAAACACACACACACACAAAATAGGAGAAATGAAGAATATAAGATCAGCTTTACAAGAAAACAATCTCTGCAATGTCTTAAATTTGAACAAAGAAGACACAAACAAAAGATTGCCCCATTGATTGCCTGGCATATTTCACTTTATCTGTCAGGTGCATACTACAGTAAAAATTACATAAATGAAGCAAAAAAAGTGAGTCCTTTATAACTGAAATACAATTTCAACAACAATCAAACATGACTGCCTGTTTTTACCAGGGCAGCCGTAAAGACAGAACCATCTCTTTCTGTATACAGAGTTCCCGGTGCAGGTGACGAATCGCAGAAGCTTCGAGAAATCTTAGCGTTCTGCCACTGGTTGAAGTATGAAGGATTTGAAATGTGTTGTTTTTAGTTACCATGTGTCCAAATTTTAGAAGATGGGGTGCTTTTGCAGAAGAGTGATCTTTGCGGCCAGTATTCTCATTCTGAATATTATTTTGCATGGCTTTTGCTGTTTAGGATGTACATACACAACTTTGTCTCTCTTCTAGTATTTCCCTACCTCTCATGTTAAGTATTTTTTTTAAACTTTATTGCAAGTATTTATAACTCTTTAGGGTAATTTAGGGTTGGGCTGGTTGGGTAGGGGTGGAGGGTGTTTAAGCCTAAGGATGTAGTGCATGTGCCATAAACTGTGGAAGGAGGAATAAGTTTTTGCCCCCGAACGAAAAATGTTATATTGTCGTACCATTAATTCAAACCCAGTCTCCTCAGGCAGCGGCCAGTGTCCTAAACACTCAGCCAGATGCTCCTCTCTTTAGGCTGATACAACCCAAAAAATTATTGTTCTTTTATTTTTTACGGTTATGGCGAGCAATATTGTAACTTCGGCAGTCATCAGTATCTGAATCCCCCGTGTGGGTTCCGGGGCCCCATTGTGGGGAAAACAAGAATAGACCCACTGCCTCACCAAAAGCATGTCGTAAGAGGCGACTAATTGGGGAGCTTCCTTTGAAGTCGGAGTGCATCTGCCGGAGAGGCAAGGAACCAACAGTCTTTATTCAAGAGAATAAGATCTGAAAAAATTGATGCACACGCAACACTCAGGTTCTGGAGCAGGACTGCAGTTCACTAGTGGACGAGCAACCAGAACTTTCCGCCAGAGTTTACAGCTGGTGAATGCGAAGAAGAAGAAGAAGTATCTGAATGTGTGTTTTCTTGTCGGTAAAATCATGGGGTATTTGTTATGAACACTGGTAACAAACACAAGGCACCCAATGGCACGAGCAGCACAAACAGCATCATTAGTACATAATCTATTGCGAATAACTAGCAAGGTCAAGACAGATCCAGCAGGCAGATGATGGTTTTATCCATGCAGAAGTCCTCAATCTGTGTGACTAAATACATCTTTGTACTAGCCATTCTCAACAACCATATCATCACTGGCTCCCATTTCTCTAGCACTTCATTACTCAGCACTCACTTCTACAGAGAAGGACAAGATGCAAACAGCATTGAAGGCCCATTAGAACACACGAGTCTCTAATACATTTTTGGGTAACTTACCTAGCAATGAGATCAGATGGTTTCAGCACATCCTGGAAGAACTGGAACTGGTATAGATGGAGCAGCAGAATGTGGGAACCTGTGTAGATGAGCAGCAGTATCCGGACATATCCAAACTGATGTCCGGTGGATTTGTAGCATCCCCACATGGTCAGCACAATCAAGAAGACAATGAAATAGACCTGGAGAAAACCAAAACCATTTCATCAACAGACAACAAAAGTTTGGCTAAGTTGTCCGGGTTAATGATATCAAAGTTTAACACAAGTTGTAATACCCGGATATATCTAAATAGATAACCTGTCGTTTGAAGTATCCCCACATAGTCAGCATAATCAAGGAGACAATGAAATAGACCTGCCTCCAATCTCTCTCTCTCTCTCTCTCTCTCTCTCTCTCTGTGTGCACGTGTGTGTGTGTGCACGCCTGTGTGCATGTGTTGTCTGTTGTTGTTGCTCCCACTTTGTTTCTTCCTGTTCATGGTTTATTTGTGCAAATAATTCTGTACACTCAAAGGGGGTAGTCAATCCAAACCAACCTAATAATTAACTGTCTCTTATGGCATGCTTGGCAAGATATGGTGTTATTATTATTTGCTTTTAGAGACTGCCTAGTTAGACTTACCACGCACAACACTTACCCCTCCCAGAACTGATGGAACAATGACTCCAGCTGCCAAAAGAATGACATTCTGTAGACATTCTGACAGCAATTTCAGAAACTGATGGCCAGGTTTCTTTTTGACTCCTCCCAGTAGTGGCGTCTCTGATAAACTGGTGCCAATCTCTGCCTGGCGATTGGACAGTTTCACTGCCAGCACCAGAGTGACGACAGAAATGATGAATACGATGGCATCTGGCACTACTAGTCGAATGATGTGCAAAACATCAGCGCTGTCCAGTCTGAGAAAGAAAAGTAAAAAAGATATATGACTAAAGTCGAAGGGTTATAAAGCTTTGCTCTCATTGGAAGACCCAGGTTTGAATCCTCAGTAGGGTAGTGGAAGATTCTTCTTATTATAGTCTATGCCATGTGGCACTGGTAGTCATGTCTGTCTACAACCTTCTGTCCCGTGTATTTGCAATCAATTCTGACACAGATGATCTTTCATGTCATGTCAAATTGCCCAGTATTTTCTCCCTTGGTCTTCCTCTGCATCTTTTCTCCTCCAACTTTTCAACCGTCATGATGCACTCCAGTTTTCGCGAGAAAAAAAAAAGAAAGATTTTTCTAACATGGCAAAAATATCCTTACCTGCACAAAACATAGTTACTGCACTAGCCATGGGACTTTAAATCTTCAGTTTCAAGACCTCCTGACCTGAACTGCCATAAAAAGTTATAAATACGGGCAGTACAGACAGTATATATTTTGGTCATATGTGACTGAGCACCCGTATAACAGTAGCCAGTACTACTTGTCTTCTGTTAACCCGAAGTGTTGGGCAGCATATAGCAATCCTGACATCCCATATTGTACCAAGGGGTTTGGTCAAAGCCGAGCATTGGGGAGGAAACTAGCTTCATCCTAGGAAGAGGAAATGAAACCTGAAAACTTTATTTTATAGCAGGGCAGACCAGGTCCTTAGCCTTGGCTGGCAGCTGGTCTAGGAGGGAAGCTCAGACAGGCGGACAGATAGAGCACTGCTCTCTTGATCCTACAGCTTCTGCAGCATGCATTGTTCCAAAACATACCAGTGTTACCTTTCCTTTGGAGTAAACAATGCAGGCAGAGAAAAGGATCACGATGTATGAGCAACATTATGGTCTCGACAATACTGGCCACCTAGGTCTATTTTCAATCGTCTCGACATTAACCTGCCATTGGATCAAGATGGACAAAGGCGAGAGAGTGAGATCGGCGAACTGCAAGTCACTGTCATCCAGCTATCACTTTGGATGAAAGTGGTCATCACACGTGATGGACGAATAACAACAACAACAACAATACTGCCTAGGCATTGTGCTACATAGAGAAGGAACTTTCTCCCTGGTCTTAATTAGTTTGACTTTTCTTAATGCAGACATGTCTTGCTAGTTACACTAGCCATCGCCATGGGCTGTGAGTCCATGCCTCCTCATAGCACAATATAACACTATCGTCAGGTAAGAAGCAAAGATGCCAACAATAATAGACAATTTTTATAAAGCCCTTGTTATCCAAATAAATGGAGCTATCTTTACAGAGACTGAGCTTTAGTGGATTAGATCAAATGAAAAGTATGCTGAAATTCTGCACAGAAATAATGTTTGCAAAAACAAGCATACACTGCCATTGCTACCTGTATTTACCCATTTTGTGGTGCAGACAGGAAGGTCTCTGAGCCAAAAGATTCAGGATCGCATGGCTAGTGCTGTCGCTGTGCAGGTTAGGATTTTATTTTCAACTGACAGAAAAAATCCCCAACTTTACTAAGGATCTGAACCCGGGTCTCTTGCATGAGAGTCCAGTGCTCTTAACACATACCATAGGACAGATGAGCAAAGATCACAAATGAAATATTTTTGTCAGTAAATATTAAGAAAATTAGTTAAGAATATACTAACAATTAAACCGTTGTGGATTGGTGCAAGTGCTTAATCTTCTTCTTCTTTACATCCTCTTTTACCGCTACGGGTGTCGAGGGAGATATAAGGTCCTGCTTCATGCTTTTCTTACTACTTTGACCTAAGACACATCGTGGTACTGTAGAGTTTCTCTAATGTTATCTTTCCATTGTGTTCTTGGTCTACCTCTTGCTCTACGTCCCTCTCCTCTTTTGGTAGAATGCCTTGAATGGTATAGGATCAGAAGGCATTCTCTCCAAGTGAGACAACCATTTGATTTGCTCCCAGTTCAAATACCCACAGTTCAAATCGTCCCTAAAGTAGGACCTTCTCAAAGAAGTGTAGTTTTATGGTAAACCCAAATTTATACAATTTGAACCATAGTATTTATTGTAGGCAGTCCTTTTATCTTTTATTTATTAATATCATTGCTAGGGTTTTCATTAATTTTTCTTCTCATGTCCTTTAGCTGGCATGCGTGTCTTAGTGGCCATGAATGCAGTTTTATACAGGGTGTCCCACAAGTTCCCCTGTGTAGGAAAAATAAATATACCAGCAACACCATTACAAGCAAAAACTCTAGCTGTGCTTATATGTGTTCTTCACAGTTGAGGACATGCATCGAAATGTGTTTTCAAAACAATGGTAGTTATGTACAGTCATGTATTGAGAAAGAAAATACTGTCCACTAATTAAAACAATGTTTGTTTTTCCCATGTATGGAAATCTAAGACACCTAATCCAATCATCTTCTTGTGGAATGCAATTTTTTGTTATTTGAAGCCCTACTCTGGTTCTTGCCAGGGGCCGCAATATAGCCCGACCATAAATATGGTCTAATGGCTGAACACGGTTTCTGTGGCACTTTGTGTCATTGGGTGTTAATCGCTTGTGTGATGTCCTAGTAGGGTAAAAATGTACTACTACTATCTAAGACACCCTGTAATTCCAACATTTCAGGTTAGATTCAGCTGCAGGTGATCTGGCCGCAGAGAGTGCTCTGCAATAATTCTGACAATGGTATGAGCATCAACTATTTAGCAGCAATGGCAAAGTACTGACCTGGGAACCAGAGTGGCAAAATAGCTAGACAACTGCTGTTCAGTCTATATGTATAGAGTGAAATCCACACTGTTTTGTTTTTTTAAACTGACTTGCTTACCAGGTTGATACAGTGGAAAATTGGTACCACGTAATGTCCTGGTTAGGAAAGGCAGCCAGCATTAGGTTCATGTACATCACCTATTGGTGCTGATTAGTCTATAAAATATGGTTCAAACATTTTATGCTCGAAGCATGGGAAAAGACCTATGAACTACCTAACGAATGAAAAAACTTTAATTTCAAAGGGTTATAAATTGGGCACACAGGCCCGTCTTACATTCGGCCCTTTCAAGCACACATTGAATACAAAACTGCAGAGTAAAACCCAAAACAGTCAACAATTCCTTCGGTTGGTTTATGACAACCTGTAATGGATATACAACAAACTAACCCTTTTTTTAAAGCGTTTATTCCCCCCTCCCCCTTCTTCGAAGCAAAGGCTCTCAAGAAACTCATATAAAGGCTGTCATATTATTTTGCCATCTCCTGCAGCATTCTCCATAACCTCATCCATTATTCATCTATGTCTTTAATTCTCTGATTCATATGTGTGTGTTTTTTTTTTTTATATTTTCCCCTATCTCTTTTGCCCTGTGGGAATTCTGTGACAGGACATTTCAATGATACTATTATCAGGTTTCCTCAACTGTTCCCGACATATCCAGAGCCAGCAAAGACATGATTGCTAGATGTTGTGATATTTTATTTGGGAAGGGTGGGGGGGGGGGGGGGGGGTGATAGTGAATGCATGTTTTAGTGAGAAATAAAGAGCAGGAAAAGATGATTTGGAAGACTAAAAAAATGTTTGGGTTCTGGAGGGAGTCTCCATGGCGTAGCGGCTAGACGCTCACATGCGGATCAGAAGGTTGTGGGTTCGCTCCCTGGCGGAGCGGACTGTTTTAAAAAATGACCTCGACTCCCAGGTTGACCCAGCCTTGAGTGGGTACCGGGTCGCAGTCCCGGGAAGTAAAAGCGGCAGGCGTGATGCTGACCACATCATCCATCTTGTGCCGATTGGTCTATAAAAATATAGGTCTAGCCCTATATGCCCTATACGCCTAAAGGCGTGGAAAAGAAACCTTTACTTTTACTATACTGGGTTCTGCAACAGCCCCACCGCCCCCTGAGCATGCCGTGAAAAGTGACTAATTATAGTTTTGCTGACACTGGATGTCTTAAGCCGAAAGGCATAAATTTAACAGCCTAGCTGTAAACCACAATACAATTTGCCACGGTTGAGAATTTGGCTTATGTTGACCGTTCTCGTCACAGTTTCTCCTCCAGTTTCGATGTTGCAAGATTGTGGAAGTCTGGTTTGCAGCCGGAGCTACTGAGTTTAGTGCTCCTGGCGGCACTATGAGCTATGATTATCGGTTATTGACTGAGTTCCAGACTGGTACATAATGGCAATGATAGGTGATGTATTTTTCTTCACTGTGTCCTGGCACAAGGCGTGTGCTATAGCTGCTATCTATTTGCCGGCCGAGGCTGCAACTTGGCCGATGACATGTGGAGAATTGTCAGGAATAGTTTTAATCTACTCATCGCCCAGCTATTTGTCAAATGAAGTTGATTTAAGGAGGCATTCACCTTATTTTTTGCCAGATTAAATTGTGTGTGTTTTGCTGACTGAGGACATTTTGTATGGCTAAGGCATTCACTTGAAGTATCTGACTTAGTTTGTGACTAGAATCACTGGCATAGGCGGCTGAGCAATTATGTGCCAAGCTCGTCTGCTGTGATGCCAGAACCGTAACGACTAACCAACTAACTAACAATTTGCCAACCATCCTTTTAAAAGTGAACACAAAAGAAGAATTATAAGACTAAACAGTAAAAGCGCGGATATACATCTGAGTACATTGCTTTTCATTTAAATAAAAACAAACACTTTTTGTGTGGAGAAGATGGAAGTAAAAATACAGCTAACAGAAAAAAAAATAAGAATTTCACATAATACGTAGAAGAACATGACATTCTTACCTTTGATAACCAATCTGGCGCACCAGTTTCTCTGTACTTGAGCCTAATTGATAATCAAATTGGAAAATTATGGTTGATATAAACAAATGATATATAAAAAAAATATCAAAAATAATGTTAACAGGCTCAAACAACAATCATAATATACAGCCATTTTTATCTTTAAAGAAAAAATATTCTGCTTGTTATTAAATGTTCTCCTGAAGAAAGAAATACTTAATTTATGACTTGAAAGAATTCTCTATAGCAGCTCTTGAGTAGCAAGCTTTTTTGCATTTATTTTGTTTTCTCATATTTGTTTCTTCAGAACATGTATCTTCAGAAACTGTGTCTTGTAAGTTCAGTTTTTACCTGTTTGCCCATACTAAATATAATGGTGTATAATTAAAAACAGTTAGAAATAGAGGGGTGGCTGGCCGAATGGTTAGAACGCTGGGCTCTCATATGAGAGACCCGGGTTCGAATCCTCAGTAAGGCTGGGGATTTTTTTTTTCTGTCGGGGCACACACACAATCCTCACTTGCCCAGGGTTAGCTTTCCTGGTTAGTTTCATGGGACACTGCATTCTCCTCCTTGTGTGGTCATCTTTGTTTCCTAGGCCATAGGTGATGCTCCACATCAGGCCGGTTCAGAGAAGTCATGTAATGCTGGTAAGCCCTCAAGAGAAGTCAGGGGCAGAACATGAACCTTCCCCACCATCCAAGGAGGTTTGCATAAACGCAGAGCCAATACAGGTTGCTTGGCTCACCCAAGGAATCCTCACTTTCTGCTCATGACTGTTTAACCTCCCTTCCATATATTGAACATCTCATTCATCCTGGGCTATCTCCTTTGTGCCCAACAGTAGGCAGTCTGCAGACCTGGGATTTCAATTACCTACCAAAATGAGTACTTGTTTCTTATGCAAGTTAGATTTTTATTGCAATGGACTTCCGTGTCCACTATAGTTTCACATTTTTATGGAACATTTGGCACTCGATTGATGATGGTGTTGAAATTACAACACCCACATTTAACTTCTCCTAACATTTTAGAGCATACATTTTATAGACAGCACATAAATGATTGTGCATGACGTTTTTTCTCATCTCTCTCTGTCTCTCCTCTCACTCTGTCTTCCCCTCAATATCTTTCTCTAACCCCCCCTCTCTCTCTGCCACTTCTCTCTCTTTCCCAACTTTCACTCTTCCTATCTCTCCCCTCACTCTGTCTCCCTGTTTATATATTTCTCTTTGTCTCTGTGTCTATCTCTCTCTCTCACATACAAACACACATGCACTCACCCATGCATGCACGCATGCACGCACACACACACACACAGATAGAGAGAGAGAGAGAGAGAGATAGAGAGAGAGATATAGATAGATAGATAGATAGATAGATAGATAGAGAGAGAGATAGAGAGAGAGAGATAGAGAGATAGAGAGAGAGATAGAGAGAGAGATAGAGAGAGAGAGAGATAGAGAGAGAGAGAACTATGAAAGAACTCACAATTAGTGAACATGCTGCCATAAGGCTCCTTGTCATTTGCTATGGCTACCAGGGTGATGTGAAAAATGATGTGTCCCAAAATTGGCAGCAGGCTGACTGGTATCAGGCATTTCAAAAAGATGCCTGTGGGTCCTGCAATCAAGACAAAGTAAAAATAGATATAAATACCACAACAAGTACAGATAATTCCTATTCAACCTATCCCAACATGGTATACATTTTGTTTTGTTTTCATTTTAAAGAACCACCCCAGCTGGACTTAGCTTACTTTGTAACCGTCGAGCTAAGTTGAGATGATTCAAGAACTGACATCACAGCACTCAGGGCATTCCCATAAGCGCCCCATCCACATTCTCAGCAGCCAGTGAAGAGTTCAGATATTATTGGTGCTAGTAGCATCCTGATTAGTCGGCTCTGTGGCTAAGTCCGTGCAAACGCTTCATAATGCCGGGATGCCGGGTTCGATCCCAGCTGCGGGCCATGTGCCTTGCATTGGTTTCGACAGTGGTATCAAGAAAGCCGACCGTCCAAAAAGGGATGGCAAACTACTGGACGTAAATATGCCTAGAAAAACCACACAACAACCAGGGGCTGTTATGGTTGGTTCTGCAACGTCCTGTAAAGGATACGCAACTAACATTAGCATTCTGATTAAACGTTTTTCTTGCCTTTCCTCTGAGCCTTGAGCATCTGCCAGAACCTCTCGTCACTTCCCGCTGCATCAATCTCACCAGACTGTGGTGATCCATCTGCTTCTCCAAACTGAACATGCTGTCCCACAAGGCACTAACCACGTCTGCCTTATCATGCATCAGTATTACACCAAGTTGTGCAAAGCCAGCCAGTCTGTCCGCCTGTTCATTTCCCAACACACTGGCATCTCCCGGTGAAAACATCCAGACAATACTCCTCACCAGTGTCCTCCGCACTGAAGCCTGCCACTCTGCACGAAACATGCCTGTCCTGACCTTCCTCAGCATGCTTTCTGAGTCAGTTACAATCAGGATGTGTGTTGTGCCATGTTCTCTAACCAGCGGAAAGCTGCACTGACCGCCTCTACCTCCATTCTTAAGCTAGATGTTGTGGTATCATACACTAGGCTCTCCGGCACCAAACCATCGTTGGGAGCCCTAATATAACCTTACAGTTGAATGGGGTTCCTGGGATCTGTGCCTAGGGGATTCTCATTAGAATGGTTGCATTGTGTGTCTTCTTCTTCTTTTGTCATCTCACTGATACCAGGTTGTAGCCCAGTGTCATGGTTTTCTATATTTGTCTTGCGCTTCTCCGACGATTTGGGTGATAGAGTATTCAATATTTCTTGTGTAGTAGCAATCAATTACACCAATGCCGACTTGCTAGGCCCTTCGCATAGCGGGGCATAAAAAAAATCTGACCAGGTTGGTTTTTGTCTTCTTCCAGGCGAGCCACTGCCCCATCAGCTTGAAACCTCACGGCTTCATTTTCCATGTATGTCACCCAAGTGCTGTGATGTTGATTCTTAATTCAACATTCAACAGCATTCAACATTCTTGATGCACATAAACTGACCAAGTTCCACTACCATAACAAAAGTGCATTTAAAAACGCATGTCACCCTGGCTGTAATCGGGGGCCCTAATATAACCTAAGCATGTTTAACCTAATGGTTGAACGGGGCTTCTGGGACCTCTCCCCGAGTGATCCTCCTCCGCATGGTGGCACTTTGTGTCACCGGGTGTTTATCGATTGGTGGATATCCTGATGGGGCTGAATCTTACTCACACCCAGTGTCCTGTACGGAACTTTAACATTCCATCATTAAGAGGCGACATCTCTGTTATGAGTCCAACAAGAAGAGAAGAGAGTTACGCCCTGTGGCCGTGGGTGACGATCAAGATTTTTATCAGCAACAAATTAATGAATGAGATGCTATTAAACACATAGATGGGTCAGTCGGACTTTCTTGCTACGCTTAAGTGAGATTTACTGTACACCTAAAGGGTGTTAAAATGTAAACGCACAAAGCAACAATATTTCCCCTGGTCTCTGGGTAGTAAGATCGGACGCCCGTGCGTATTGCTGGGCATGTAAAAAAAAAAAATCCCTTGGCAGTTGGAAATCGAAAAAAGTAGCCTAATAGCGCTGCCCAGGCAAAATGTGGAGTTGCAAATCTACCCAAAGTATTTCAGGATCCTCGCCGGTGCAACAGAGTTCGTGCGCTGCGCTAAGATTCTTCAGACTCAAGCTTGAGTTAGAAGTAGAACGGAGCACTTATGGGTTATACACCAGTGTGCTATGATGTTGTTCCGTTGAATAAACATAAACATCAGCAATATTTTGTGAACGTCTGTAGTGCATGGGTGAGGAACAACTGGGCAACAGGTCAGCGGGTCGCGTGAGGGCCGGGAAATAATTTGGCCTGACCTTGCAAAGACAACCGCAGGGGTAAATTAGTTAAAGTTTTCACTAAATATAGCAGGCTTATTTTAAAGCTGTTAATTGTGTGTAACCTGCGAATAGTGTTATAAATATAAAAATGTTTCTAGGCAGATCATTTATATATGGATTTTTATTTTTTTTTTTATTTTAAGTTTTACCGCTCCAGATTTGCATTCTGTAGGATTAACTTCTGACGGGTGAGAATCCAACAAGTACAAATCCCGGAAACTTTGTTTGAGGGTAAAGCCATATAGCACGGTTATATTGGGGCACCACAAACGGTTAAGAGGTAACCTGTAGTTCAGTTTGGGTGGGTACTGGGCCCGTGTGTCGTCCAACCCCATCAGGGCCTGTACAACCAACGACCAACACCCGGTGACACAAACTGCCACCATTTGGATGAGGATCGCCAGGGAACAAGTCCCAGAAACCCTATTCAGCCTCTAAATTAACACATTGCGTCCCACATTGTGACGAGAAAATTAGTGCAGCCCGCAAAAAAATCGCATGACATATTTCTTCTTCTTCTTCTTCGTGTTCACCAGCTGTAAACTCTGGCGGAAAGTTCTGGTTGTTCATCCACAACTTCTTCTTCTTCTTCTTCGTGTTCAGCAACTGTAAACTCAGGCGGAAAGTTCTGGTTGTTCATCCACTTTTGGGCTGCAGCCCTGTTCCAGAACCTGAGTGTTGCGTGTGCATCCGTTTTACAGATCTTTTTTTTTTTTTTTTTTGAAACGCTTGGTTGCGTGTATTAGAATAAAACTATGTACACATACTGCGATATTCACTTTTTAAAAAAAATCCTGTGCCACCAGTGACATCATTTGCTTTACACTTGACCCATTCATGATATTAATTTTAAAATCTAGCAAATTTGTATGCAGACTGCTGGCTCCTTGCCTCTCAGGCAGATGCACTCCGACTTCGAAGCAAGCTCCCAATTAGTCGACTCTTACGACATGCTTTTGGGTAGGCAGTGGGTCTATTCTTGTTTTCCCTATATATATATATATATATATATATATATATATATATATATATATATATATAGAGAGAGAGAGAGAGAGAGAGAGAGAGAGAGAGAGAGAGAGAACGTGCGCAACAATACACACGGTCGTCCGATCTAACTACCCAGAGACCAGGGGAAATATTGTTGCTTTGTGCTTTTACATTATAGGGCCCAGGAACCCACACAAGGAGCATGATATATTCAAATAAAAAGCACCAGCGTTTCAACTTTTGAACTTGGCGCTAGACACCCGGGTGGTGTACGGTACAACGTACGCCCCCTTACAAGCAAACTTCACGTCTCTACAAATATTTCACACGCACAAAATAGATTCGCTCGTGTTCTAGATTCACGTGCCAGCTAACCCAGTGACCCACAAGCAAACCTGACTCCTTAATATACAGCTGATTAGAACCAAACCAGCGCTACTAGTAGTGAGCTTAGCTATCGTGGGAGCCAAAGCTACTTGGTCTAATTTTTAAAAAAAAACATTCCGGGGAAACACCGCGAAATGCCAAAGAAAGTAACGATAAAACAAGTACCTACGAAATAACAGCAGGAAAAGGAAACTAAAAATTGTGTGGATATTAAAGAAAACAGGAAAAGATGCGTTAGATCCAACGATACTGTCGTAGGGATCAAAGCCACGCGTTCTAATAAATAAAAATGGATAATTCTGGGAACACAGAAGATACCCGCAGAAAGTTGGAACACTGAAATTCAAAGGAATGGCATGGGAAGGATAATAATTATGATGTGAGCATGAAAAAAAAAAAAACACACACACACACACACACACACAGGAGAAGACGAAGTAGAATTTCAAACATGACAGTGGGATAGTCGGCTAGATACCTTCGTACTAAATAAAATACAAGACTTTGACTGAAAAACGGCAGGGACAAATAATCAATAAAGGCCCGTATAAATACAACCGTGCGTTAGAACACAGTCTTTATCAACAGCGTACTCAATACAACAAACCCCCCTCTCTCCCCCCCCCCTCTCCCCACCCCGGTAATTTCCTGTACCCAATATTTTTTTCGGTTGAAACGTTTGTTTGTGTGTATTTAAAATAAAACTGTATACATACTGTGTGATATTTCACTTTTTTCCTTTAAATCCTGCGCGACCAGTGATATTCTACTCGACCCATTCGCGATATTAACATTTAAAAAGAGAAACTCCAATATATGCTTGCACTGTGTTCAGTGACTTTTCGCCGTATGACCAAACGGCATTAATCCTGTGTCTAAACAATGAGAAAGATGCAGTATGCTTTAGGTGCGCAATGAAACAACGGCACACCGACAAACGATTCTGATGGATAGTTTTAGAATAAGGCCATGAAGATTATATAATCCAGTGTTTCTCATATGGTAGTCCACTAAACAAAACCACCCCCACACACACCCACACACACACACACACACACACACACACACACACACACACACACACACACACACACACGAGCACACACACACGAATACACACACACGCATGCACACAACACTTTAGAGTGCAATTTTTTTTAGAACTGTACTTCTGCTTCTCTAGTAATGTTGTGCCTTTCATCGTCAGATTTTGAACAGGCATCGGGTGCGAGCCTTGCTATGTGCTATGTAGATGCTGCTTTTCGCGGCCTCGGATTCTCTCTTCTTTCCTTAGCTTACGTGATCAGATTACATATAGAAGGTTG